AAAAAAATCTATGTTTAATCTAATAATACTTTCCTTTATGTCATAATAATATATTTTGCTTCAGTATTCAACTTGTTGTTCCTTCTGTTTGTATATCTGCACAAAATTTGTATGAATAATAATAAAATAAAAACTCATGCAACTTTAAAACATTTCAACTAAAATGAAACATTTTCTAAAACTATTTTAAAAATTAATAATTGGTTGTCTAACTTGAATGTGCTTCTACAAAATTGATGATCTGTTTTATTATGTAAACATGTTTGTATTTTCTTTTTGCTTTATATTTGTGGGTTGTTGTTGTTTATTTTCTTCCACCAGATGTTGATAAACAAACCACAGGAATGCCACAAACTTTACAAAAGTTCATTTATATTTATTTAAATAATTCATTTTATGAACGTTATATTGCTGCAACAGTTAAAACAGTAATAAAATATATATGCATTACAAGATTTGCAATGTGTGTGTTCATTGTGCACGTAAAAACACAGACACGTGCATATTTTGTTCAAACAGGTCAATTATATATTATTTTTATCTATTTCATAGAAATATTTTCATGTTTTTGTTTTCTATAAGTTTTTTTTTTTACTGATTACTGACTACAAAAGTGGAAAAAGTTCCAATAGTTAATATAAAATGTAATGAAAATTAAATATAAGATTATTGATGAAGGAGATAGGAACTCCTCAGCAACTTCAATATGATTTTAATTAGAATGAAAACATTTATACATTAAAAAAAAATTCTCATTTTATTATATTTTAAAGCTGCTTCCAATCATTTTATTTTGTTTGTTAAGTAAACTTATCCTTTACAAATTAAAAGCCCTTCAGATTTGGAAGCTCTTGTTTTCTTAAAATAAATAAAATAATTAATTACTTTAAAAAAAAAGGAAAGAAATTTTGACCTGAACATTTTTACTTTTTCATGTCAGTCTGTGATAATAAATTTATTTTTACAAAACTATTTGCATTTTGTATTCATTATCTCTCTCTCTGTGTGTGTGTGTGTGTGTGTGTTGGGGGTGGTGGTGGACAAACCGAAATTAAAGTGAAACTAATTGATTTATGATCATTAAAGTTTTGAAAAGTTTATTTAACTTTAAGGAACAAACAAATTAATTAAAGTTATTTATTTTATTAAAATGTTTTTATGCGTCTTTCCTCCAACTCGTTGTAAAAATAATTTGGATAATTTTTTCTCTTCCTGTTCGCTGCTTCAAAACCTCTCGTTCAAAACTGCAGCCGCGCGCATGCGCACCACCACCTATAATTTCCCAATAAGTGGTTGTGTTGGCTCGGTGATTAAACAGATGATGGGGTGGGGTGGGGGTGGGGGTTCCCTCCTCCATCCACCGCGGTGCATGTCGGGGATGTTTGCAGGCCTTCCGCTCGCGCATTCACAGCACGTGCGTGGCTGCAGAACATACCTTCTGCTTCGGCTCATTTTCCCAGACTTTGTAATAAATATGAATTTATGAATGTTGACAAGCCAGAGGCTGGAAGTCGTCTCAGAGAGGAGCTGCTCGCATCAGAGCATGAAGAGAGGCAACAAAAGAAACACCTTCCTGCCTCCTCTTATTCGTGTTGCAACTCATGTGTGGTCATTTTCAGGTCCTAACATCTGCCCTTTGACCTCTTTGCTTGCTGCTCAATAATGCCATGCAAGATGCAGCCCCCCCCCCAGCCTTAACTGTAGTCAAACATTAAAATGAACAGAAGAAAATGAGAAAAACACGTTTACTCCTGTGGTTTTTCTCATGTTTCTGAATGTGGGTCCACACTCAATGTAAACAAACATTTTATCTGCATTCTTCAACAAACCAGAGTGTAAAAAAAAAGGCATCACAACTCATGCTATCCTAAATGTTTTTGCCATAGATGTCAACATGTTGACCCATTTCAGTCACTTCACTTGTGATTCATATGATATTTCTTTTTAACGGATCTGTCTTGATCACATTGCAGGGATTACGTTAAAGCATTAAAGGATTTGAGCTGCTCTTCCTCACATGACAGCCAGTGAAAACTGCTCTTCTTTCAGTCCCTAAATGCCATAAAACTTCTGTAAACATTCAGATGCTGATCTGATTTTCAGTATTATGGAATTTGCTTTTAATCTAAAGCAAATGGATTTAAACTACTTATTAAAAAGTCAAGAAGACTGCTAAAATCTCACAAAGCAAGAAACATATCGACACATTTTCCCACATCGTGATGTGTCCTTTAATGTAAAAACAAAGTTTCTGATCTGCAGCAAACGTGCATTTGGTTAAAGCAGCTCAAGTGACGTCATCAACGATGATGTCCAAAGAAGTAATTTGTTATATTTAGGCTCAGATTCAAGTCTGATCAAGGAGATTTGTTTACATTGAGTGTGGACCCACGTTTCAGAATTCCATGTGAAAACTACTGGATTTCAAACAGTTGATTTAATTCAGAATAACTTTTTTTTTTTTATGTTTGCAGTCAGTCTTGTAGCTGCAGTGTAAGAAAAGTGATGACGTTTAAAACTGGGCCTGGACTCAGCATCAGTGTTTCAGCTGCACGACCTGAATGTCTCTCCGGGAGTCTGAAGCCTCACAGGGTAAAAAGTTGGGACGTTGATGTTGGAGATTCTCAGTCATCCAGGAAATGAATAAACATATTTTTGGATTTGGGACCGTGTTGCAGGTCAAGTCTGCTTCTGCGCATTTTCCAGCCACAGCAGATGAACTTTCACCTCGACCTCTGAAGGACCTTTTTTTTTTTAAAGCTTGTATCTGTTGACCATTTTTACCTCCAGCTACTCCATCCACGCAGCCCTCCGTGCGGGCTGGGGCCGGATCGATAGGGCAGCATCTGCTCCGGGAAGCCGGCGGTCCCACACCGCGCCGCGCCGCGCTGCGCGCTCCCTCCAAACTGGTCAACTCTGAAAATTAAACTGACAGACGCGCGTGATTAGTATGCGCGCTCTGCCTCCCTGTTTTCGGTCAGACTCTGTTTTATTTATTTATTTATTTATTTATTTATTTATTTATTTTCCCTCTGTTGAGCACGCGAACATGCATGCACGCGCAGGCCTAACCAGTTATGCGTTCATGCAGCTTTAAATGCGCAGAATAGGTTAATAGATGCGTGCACACCCAAGCAAAAACATGTGCACGCACGTACACACACATGCGCACACTCATTCAACTTTGTGCAAAATTCCACTCGATCGCAAAGCATATGTTTATTGTAGGAGTGGCGCACGTGCGGGGGCCTGCTCTGTGGCGCAGCAGCAGGACGCTGCTCTCATGGAAGACAAAAAGAAAAAATAAAGGGGGGGGGGGGTCGCATTGATCTTGGTGAGGGACTTTTCAGAACGAAGTGATTGAACAAAGAGGGCTGTGCTGATTAAAGAGAAAAACAAGAGCGCGTCACCTGAAGGAGATTTAAGGGTTAACGCAAAACAAAACTGAAAACAATCATGGCGCATGAAGCCCGGATTATTTCACTGTTTAACTCTAAATGAGGGGTGGATATGCCATTTATACTTCTAATCTTTTAGTTTTATTCTCATGTTCACCCTAAATTATGTTTTAAACCCGTCTCCCCCTGTGACATTTGTTTATTATTTACATTTATGACATATCTCCATAATGTTGCAAGAAGAGCCTCACTGGCTCCATAAAAAGGACAAAACCATCTGATCTTTAAAAATTCATTGATCAGGCGCGATAAACAGCCGGATGTCCGCGCATTATTCAGAAGTTGTGCACGGATTAATCTGAAGAAGAAGAAGGAGAAGGATGAGCTTTAACTTGTGGGGTTATGAGGAAAGGAGCATCTCCACCTCCGCGCTCCCCCCACCCCGGAGAGAAAAGGGTTAATTGGAGTAGGAATTTCATCGCACATCTGTCAGATTTTTAAGGCCGTGACGCACTGAAAGCTGGGAGTCAATGTGAGCCGGGGGGAGGCTGGGGGGGGGAAGGAGTTGGTGGTGAGATCGATGAAGTGGCAGGCAGAGGGAAGGGGAGGAGGAGGAGGAAAATCTCACGAGATAATGAAAGAAAAAGAGGAGAGCAGCTCACAGTGAAAACACCAGCTCAGGCGGGGAGAATTTTTTTTTCCACGAGGCTGAAGCGCAGCCTCAAAACCGGAGGAGGACGGGAGAGCGCGCGTGAGGTTTGTTAGTGACCGCAGATGTGTTTTTTTTTTCTGATTCATTTTTTATTCTTGCGCTGTGGTTTGGTGAATGTAGCACCCCGGGGCGCAGCGGACCAATTGTGTGGATCTGGAGGTCTGCTCGGCGACACAGTCGTGGAGATGCGCAGGGCGGACAGCAGCCGCGGACGCGCTCTGAGAAGTGGATAAAAAAAGGTAGGACTATGAATCTCTTCAAAACGATCCAGTCTGTTAAAATCCTTTGTTTAATTTGGCACCAAATAAACGCACCGGTGCGCGCGCTCATAACTTTAAACAATAACATGAAATATTTCAATATATTATGAAATGAGCTCATTTTGAAGACTTAACATGATGATTATCGTGTGTTTCGCTGCTTTTGTGAGACACTTGCGCCCAAATGCTCTTATTATTGTTATTGTTTACCACGCATGTGCGTAAAATGAATTCCGGGGAAACGTTATGCGGTTGTTTTCTTTGTCTTTAATGGTGGAAGTTGTAGATTTAGGGGCTAACAGCGGCCGTCTTGTCTCGCGCAGGCACAAAAGCGACGCTTCTGTCGGAGAACAGCTGAGCACCAAAGACAAACAGATGCACAAACCCAGCCCGGGCTCCTCATGCTGCTGCAAACTTGTTTCCTGGGAGTTTGAAGACAGTACTTAATGCTATCAGATAATTAATTAGACACCCCATAAGCCCGGAAATCAATTAATTCACAAATCAATAAATCCATAGTCTGGTGTAACAAGAGACCTTGCAGACTGTTAGCCTGGCTGCTGAACAACAATAACAAGAGGAGAGCAACGGCAGAGCAAAGAAATACCCGTTCATTTGCTGAAACTGAAGATGGATGGAGGTCTAGGGGAGATGTCCCTCCACAGCCACTCTGATCTGGCCCACAGCCAGGACGGCAGGGCCATGCTCCACTCACGGGACCTCTCCGCCGCCTTCCCCAGGCCTTCCCTCGGGAGCTCCTCCATGGCTCTGGAACCCGAGCCCCGTGCACCGGGCTACGACCACTCCATGTCTGCTCTGGGCTACAGTGGCGATTCCCCGTCCGGCGCCGGCAGCACCTACACCACCTTGACCCCCCTGCAGCCGTTCGACGACAAGTTCCACCACCACCATCACCATCACCCCTGCCTCCCCGTCAGTAATGTTATCGGGAGCTTCACCCTCATGCGCGAAGACCGAGGCCTCAGCACCAACTTCTATAACCCATATGGCAAGGAGCTGGCTATGTCCCAGAGTCTGTCACCCCCCTCCACTGGTTCAGGTCTGGGTGCCTCCATGCATGGCTATGGCGGTCTGGGCAATGGCTCTAATGGCAGCGGTGGACAGATGCTCCACAGCGGTTATGATGTCCACGGGGGGAGCCTTTTCTGCCGAGCATCAGATTTTGGCCGAGAGATGTCCCCACCAGGCCTGGGAGGAGGAGACGTGTCTGTTGGACATCAGCTGAACAAAATGGAGGCTCACCAGCATGCCTCCAGCCACCACCCCCACATCTACAGCCAGCACTACCAGCCTCACCACCACCCGAGCCAACAAGTCGCCAAGATGGGTGAGCACCTGCACTCTTCATCATCCACCGCATCCTCACCCGGAGAGGGCATGCTGCCCGGGTCACAGGGCGGCGGCAGCGGGGAGGAGATCAACACCAGGGATGTGGCCCAGAGGATCATCACAGAGCTAAAGAGGTACAGCATCCCCCAGGCCATCTTTGCAGAGAGGGTTCTCTGTAGGTCACAGGGCACGCTGTCTGACCTCCTGAGGAACCCCAAGCCCTGGGGCAAGCTCAAGTCTGGCCGCGAGACCTTCAAGAGGATGTCTCGCTGGCTGCAGGAGCCTGAGTTTCAAAGAATGGCCTCGCTCCGGCTGGAGGGTAAGATCTGCCTCTGCTCTCTGTATGCCTCACACATACACCTTCACCTTCACACAGAAAGCACAACAGACACACTCCCCAAACGCCACCCTTCTCCATGTCTTCCAAAAAATTCTTTTCTTCAGCGATCAGTATGCAGCTCAGGTTCATACATGAGGAAAAGCATCATGCGGATGTTTCTGTTCTTCACTCAGAGTGTACAACTAGTTCAGCTTTAATCTCATCAGGTATTGATAACAGGGACTGAGCAGCACGTTGAGGACAGTCTGAGTTAAAAAAAAAAAAAAGGGGCCATGTGTGCTGTTCTTTTGTTTACTTTGTTCCCAAACAGCACCTATTGATTTGTACAGTAGCCACAAAGTAAAAAAAAAAGAAAACTCAGACATTTGCCCTCCTCTCAAATGAAGCATGAAGAGCAACGTGAGCAGCAGTTGGCAATTTAATCGCCTTTGAGCACACAAAATGATTTGAACAGATATGCCATTCTGGAGCGATTGATTAATTTGCGCAGTGATTGATATCAGCTCAGCTCCTGCCTGAAGTTGAGTTGGCACCTGATTCAAATTAGACTTGAGCTTTTGCCAGACGCCTTTTATCAGCGTCCTCACCGAGGCAATTACTGCGGGACTAAATACAAATGTTCTGCTCGTGGGAAGCAGCTCGCAGGTTGCTGGAGTACGGCGAGCACAAAATCCAGAAGTTGTTGCCTAACTGCAGGTGCGTGCGTCGTGTTTGTGCGCATGCACTGCTCGGGCAAAAATACATTTGCAACAGTTCTATAGGGACGTCTGTGGCTGAGTGGTTAGCTCAGTCGTCCTCCTGTGTGAGAGTTGGGGGTTCGATTCCACCATCAGTCACATGCTGAAGTGTCCCTGGGCAAGACACTGCACCCCTCACATGTGCGTCCCATTGTGCATGAATGTGATAAAGCACTGATTAGTCTTCGTATAGATCTAGTAGAGCGCTGTATGAACGGGTAAATGATGCACAGATTGTTGTAAAGAGCTTTGAGTATGTGGATAAGATAGAAAGGAGCTGTATAAAGACAGTCCATTTACCATGTACCATTCTTGGTTTCGTTTTCAGCCATTGAATTTAATAGATTTGTTGGTTTTATGACAAAACGCACAATCTGAGCTCTGCTTTTATAAATCTTTTGCAATGTTTAAAGGAAAAACCTTAAAGACACGTTGATAATCAGGGATTTTGTCAGAGAGCGGAGATTTATTAGTTTTTTGTTAAAAGGCACATTGTAATCTGCTGCTTGACATTTAATATTCTTTGGGGACGCGGATTGAAGACGGCACGCTGTACAGTGCCGTGTTACAGTGTCGTCCCTCCACAGGGACCGGGGGGCCCATCTGATACACGCTGCACAGAAAGAAACCCAAGTGAGCACAGTAATATGAGAGGGGCATGGACAACCGCGCGCGTGCGTGTGTGTGTGTGTGCGTCTGACGGTGGCGTGCTCACTGCAGGGGTCTGTGAGCTGTGCGTGTGCACGAGCCTTCCCAGTTCATCACCGCTCTTCGCTCTCTGTCAGCAGCTCGACTGATTAAGCCCAACAACACAATGGGGTTCATAGGTAATGATTGTGCACTCTTGCAATCCCTTCACAATTATTGATCTTTGATTGTCCAACTCTGAGAGCACATGTGTACATCCTCCATTCAGCAAAACGTCACGGCAATCACGAGCAAAGCTCTTATCTGCACACGAGTTATCTCGGGGGTTTGTTGTGTCGTTTGGTGTAGAATGTTGGCTTGTTTAATCCAATCACGGGCTGAGTGGTTTCGATGCAAATTATCTTCAAGAAAACACACTCATCGTGACGAAACAGTGCTCTGAGCAGAAATCCAGATCCAGTCACTCCATTATTTGCAGTGTCCCCTTTCTTCGTCTGTACAAACAACATTATTTCAACGAGTCAGTGCACAACGTCTGAGGAGCCGATCAATCAGACTCATAAAAAATTAAAGCCTACACAGAGAAGTGTTTTAATGTTTGACGTACTCTCTCTCTCTCTCTCGCTCGCTGCTCCCACACGATCTAAAAGTGCATATTTAGTTCTTGGCAAAGCCACAATTTAGACAGCTCGGCACTTTTCTACATAACCTACTTTCCGAAGAGGGTTGTTGTGTTTTTTTCACCCCCCTGGCCAACCCCCTTTTGTTTAATTACAAGCCTCTATTGATTTCCATGGGAAAGAGCAGCACGCTTTGCCCACACACACCTCGGCCGCATCGGCGAATCGAGACTGGAATTAGAATGCGTGGTGCCCTGTGCTCCCCAGTCTGAAGACAGCTCAAGTGCTCTCCGCTCCACGCCTCAAGTTTTAAGATGATCCTCCTTAATGCGGCAGTCTTCTAAACACATGGAAGGCCCTTTAAAAGGGCCATGTTATTTCCATAACCAAGTCTCTTCTGTAGAGACCTGCAGCTCCCCCTGAAGCTCGACACGCTGTAATTATGGAATGCAGTTGCTGCCATTTTGTTTTTCCAAATAGCCGTCTTTGTGCCGAGACACATCGCAAAACATGGAGGAGGTGATCCCTCGGATTTATCTGCAGCATCTTGTTTGTGTGCACGCTCTGTGGATTACTGCACTGTATATGAGATGCATCTTCAAGCCAACCTCAGGCTGTGGAGGAGGCAATCAGGATTTAGTCGAAGAAGAAGGCAGGATAAAGACCACACAGCCCTGCTTCGACACTTAAAGTCAAGCAGGGGATCAGAGACTATAACTTTAAAGATGATGGCCGAAGCCCTTGACTAAAGGTCTGAATGAGAAAGAAAGGTCAATGTGGTTTACGTGCCGGCTCCGGCGCCTGCACCACCCCCACAGCTATGAAAACCACAAAGGCTCGTCCACCCCTCACTGCGTACAGTTCACATTCGTTTGGCGAGGCTCAAAGGTCAGAGCCGATTCCCGTTTGCGTACGAGGACCGGCTCCCGGTCCGACGTGGCTTCGGCTGTGCGGCACCGAGCGCACGGCGTTGCTGTTTTAGTTGTTTTTGTTAATTTGACTCTTCCAGCTTCCCCAACTCCAGCACTGAAGGGGTTAACCAGCCTCTGTGGGTCGAGAAGTCTGAGCTGCACAGATTTAATCAATAATTTCTATCAGCCCCTGGCCCACGAAATCAGCAGGGGGTGGGCTAGGGATGGAGGGGAGGGGGTTGGGAGGAGAGGACGGGGGGAGGGAAAGGACTTTCGATCACATTTCAGCAACACAAGACAGGGGGCATACATCATGATTAGGGGCTGTTCCCACGATCATAAGAAGCCTATGGGGGAATATTTATATGTGCAGGAGTAGCCGGGGATTTATAGCATGGTAATTGTGAGCTTTTTACACATGATTACAGCATAAGGAAGCATTTACTTAATGGTTGTGATCGTCTGTGAGGCAGTGAGGACAGGATGGAGGCGAGGAGAAGGAGGAGGATGCAGGATTCAGCGACTCCTCCAACAAGCTATAAATCCACGCTACAAGCCGTTCGGCACTATCATGTCATTCCTTTCATTATTACATGAGCCGAGAGTGCACCGCTGTATATCCCAACCCCCAACCCACAAACAAACATCGATGGTGAAGATGGTGTAAAACCCGTGAAAAAATGTAGCATTTGGGAAAAAAAAAAAAAAAAATCGTTTCACTTGTGGTGATATTGACATGCCGCTGACATCTCGGCCTGTTCAGATTTTAATGAGACGTGGTTCGATAACTCTCAGAAATGCAAACGAGCTCTTGATGCCCTAAAAGCTAACAGGCCGCGGTAATCTCAAGTTGACAAGAGTGCATCCCAGAGTCAAAACACTTCCTCCAGATAACGATTTCGGAGTTGAACATTCTCAGGCCAGATTTATTCACGTCCACTTCGAGCGCGTGAGTTTCAGGAAACTCAGCCGGACTCCAGAGCAACCAAAGCCCCGAGGTGCACGAGGACGCAGCTCTCGGGCTGGGGTCCGGTGCTGATGCTGCGGCGGCACTCTCGTGGAAAATGGGAAAGGCGGCACTGAGGTCACGCTCATTCCTCAAGCACTCTGCTAATGAGAGACATTTGCTGGTGTGAGTTGGAGGAGTGGAGGCTCGGCCGTACGGTGAACACCAGCAGCAGCCTTGATGTGTTGCTCAATGAGAAGCCAATCAATCGAACGTGTCAGAGCTGTTATGAGTGAAAGTAGCAGCATCAGTGGTTTATAAAGTGTAATCTTGTAGCGTGCGTGTGAGCTGGATCAAGTCTGTTTGTTAGAGGTAGAAATATGGAGTTTCATGGTTATTTCTAGCTGACATCACCATAAAAGTCCTTTCAACAAGATTTTTTTTAAAAAGAGCAACAAAATTATTTCAGGTATTACCAAAAATATGTTTTATACCAGAACATTCACAATAAAGTATGAAAAAAAAATCTTCACATATATATTTAGATGTTGGATGGTGATTTTTATTCATTAATTAAGAGAAAAACAATCAACTTTCTTTAGAGTTTGGGTCAATACGCCTGCAGAAGGTTTTCAAAGGCGTTCATGATGTCACTGATAATCAAATAAAAGCCATATTTTAATTTCAGAAGCTTTATTGTGTCGTTATATAGTATGGGTTGTTTATGGGCGTTAGAGTGTTAGTTACTTATTTTATTACTGAGAACAATCACTACGCAGCTCATGAAAGCGTACCCTTTTCTTTTCTAAATTTATATTTATAACACAAAAAGAATCTTAGAACGACCTGAAACCCTGCATCCACGTGAGAACATTGACTTTCTGCACCAAAATGTCTGATTCTATTCAACTTAGACCCCTCGTTCAGAAAAACAAGCTTTTAATTTTTGAACTTGTAAAGCTATTTCTTAAAATATTTCATTTCATTAATCTTTTTATTAATCTTTTTTACGTTTCAGGTCTTAAAAGGCTCAAATATCTGGGAGGGTTAGCCTTGGTAGGGTTTATTACATACTCTGAAAGCCTGAAGAACAGATTATTTCTGAATTATTAGTGAATACAGTAGTCCCTCGTGTATCGCGGTGGATCCGTAAGCCCACGAAGTAGGGATAGAAGTACAGGTAGTAAATTATATATATATATATATATATATATATATATATATATATATATATATATATATATATGGGCATTTTAAACCCTTCCCACACTCTTGCAATATTCTAAACAATGTTTCTAAACTCTAAATGCTCTAAAAGAGACAGTGTCCTGATTTCAGCTCCCTGCCTCCTCTGCTCTCAGCCACCTGCAAGCGCTCTTGGCCACGCCCACTTTCCCCATCTGCACGAGAACAGCTGATCAGCTGCAGGAGGAAGTTTATCCTGCAGTGTGGGCTGCACAGAGGTGCAGCAGGTGCTAAATAATTTAAAATAATTAATTAAAAATAAAAAATCCATGCCGATCGTGCAGCTCATCCACCAATCAGCCATTTGTGTGTCATGTTCAATCATATTTTGAAAAACTGTGATAGAGCAAGTCCGGTCAAAATTAACCGCGAAGTAGCGAGGGACTATACTGTATTTTAAAATTCTTAACAATATACTGTCTTTTATGCACTTTTTAAGCTCCAAGTAATAATATTTTGATTACAAATGTTTCAAAATCTTTATATAATGACAGAAAAAGGAAAAATAAAACAACATTACCAGTGTAGTTATCATGTATGTGCTGCACGGCTGGTTGTGTGCACGATCTCTACTGCTTACTCCTGGAAACACATCTGACACGTCAGCAGAACAGAGGCCCTACAGCACAGCGCTGATTTAAACCTCCTAAAAGTGTGCATTTAGGTAATTACAGGACTCCCCCAAATATGTTTTATTCCACTTAAGGCTTCTAAACACCCTGTGGGCATTGACGACTCTTCTTTCTTTGACGTCACCTCGCCCTAAACAGAAAATAAATGAGTTCCACCTAAAGTGATTATTACTCACTCGCTGCCGCCACATGTAAATGACTTTTATGTGAAACTAATGATGTTGTAGCGTCCACCAAAGGGAAAAAAGTGGGGGAAACGAGAGGAAGGAGATGAACAGAGGAAGAGAGGGGAGGGGAAGAGGGTTGGGGTGCGGCGGTGGGAAGTTGGCTCGATACACAAAGGCAGAGGTTGGTGTTGTGTTTCCTGTAAATACAGAATTACAGCGTGTTAGAGGTGAAGGGTTCAGCTATGGATATGCAGAAGAACATGCAGCCTGAATTTAAAACACTCGTCTGAGTCTCAAAATGGATGTGCTGCTCGGCCCACACACTTCAGGCTGCTTCTCATTCCTGCCCAACAAAAACGGGCTCATTTCGCAGGTTAATTTTTTTTTTTCCTCTTTCCATTTTTTTTATTTATTTCAGATCGTTTCATGAGCTAATATTGATTATATAATTGAGCAGTCTGCTGTGGCTGCAGCGGTGCTTAACCCGGACCTCGAGTTTCTTGTTCTGCGGTTGATGTATGCAAGACAGACTGAGAAAATAATGCAAATAGCACTAATAAAAAAACAAAATCAACAGAGGACTTTTTCACCTCAGTCCCTGCGTACACTGTTGGAGTATCAGCAACTTTAACACTTTAACAAGAGACGCTAATTCATCTTTCAGCACGAGTAGTTTGTGTTTGGCTTAAAATATGTGCATTTTTTTTTCCATTTTGCACAATATTACTATTCATTAATCTTTTATTGTTTGCATATCTGGGATTTCCACTGTTAATGGTAAAATAAAAACCTGGTTGGAAATGATTCATTTTTATTTTGCCAACTAATCTGTTCTTTTTCCTGAAGAATGTTTTTTTGGAAGACTTCACAATTTGATTCCAGGCCAAATCCATCTAAAGAGAAGACTTGGAAATATAATACAAAAGGGATAAAAACACCATGATTAAAAACATCAGAGCTGTGGCCTCTTCGGCTCCTTTTATCTATCCGACAGCAGCTCACTGGCAACAAGATCTGAACGATTGAACATCTTGATTCCTTTACTGCACAATGAAACAAGTTGCTGATTCATCTCTTTCAACTAATCAAAGTTGCTTAGCTAATCTGTTTTCTTTCAACAAATCCACTTTCCCTCAGCTTAATCCATTTGTCCTAGTTAGCCAGCCAGTCTGTTAGCTAACCTGTTTCCCCTTGTCTCTGTCTAATACATCTTTCGTCCATGTGCCTGCAGCCTGCAAGCGCAAGGAGCAGGAGCAGAGCAAGCTGGAGCGCAACCAGGGCCCGAAGCGCACCAGGCTGGTGTTCACAGACCTGCAGCGGCGCACTCTCATGGCCATCTTCAGGGAGAACCACCGCCCCACCAAAGAGCTGCAGGTCACCATCTCCCAGCAGCTGGGCCTGGAGCTCTCCACCGTCAGCAACTTCTTCATGAACGCCCGCCGACGCAACCTCAACAAGTGGGCAGACGAGGGGCGCCCCTCCTCCACCGGCTCCTCGGGCTCCAGCGTTTCCTCCTCTGCAGTGTCCTGCAGCACGGCGTGACCACCGATTGTTCAGGAGGCGCGACAGGGAGGGAGCAAGGAGGCGCATAGACTGGTCTAAGTGGAGATCAGCCGTTACAAATGTCCTCCTCGTTATCAGAAGGAGTGACGGAGCCAGCTGTTGGAGGTGATTTTATGAAGATGAAGCATCCCCCACCCCCCCACCAAACCAAAGTTGATTGCCTCTTTGAAATGGAAGGAGGCGATGCCTGGAGTGATACCTGCAGGATGAGAGGTCCTGATGTAAAGTCAAAGGTGACTCAGAAACATTCACACCTTTACATAGATGCCATCTCATTACTTTGTGTAGTTTAGAGATAATGAGGGTATTGCAAATCAGGAGGAAGCATATTTTGATGTACCTTCAATTTTTATTTTTATCTCACCAAACGTGAAGAATCAAGAAGTTTGCTCACGTCTGGAGAGCTCCATTGTGTACCTTTTTAATCAAAAGTGATCACCATTGTCCAAAGATGTTAATCTCTCCCCTTCAGCCGTATTTTTCCTCGAGAATCAAGGTGAAAGAGGAAGAAAAGGCTTTTTTTTTTTTAAATTCCTTTTTATCGCAAAGAAGCCAATTCCCCCTTTTTTTTTAGCATGTGTTTCCATGGTGATGGACCGTATGGTGCTGTTTCAAGTTTGGAGCCTGGAATAATCAAGAGGGTTCTGTAGCGGCCGTAAGTCCCAGCCGTCAATCATTAACCACCAACAAGAGTATCTACGGCATTTTGTCTAAACGGTCTCATCTTGAATTAATCAGAGGTTTCAAGGGGGGTCTACAGTGCATCTCGACATACGCCGGGACAAAATCAATAAACACAAGTGGGACGCCAAAACAGACTTGTTGATGCAACCGTTTAGCTTTAAGACTCTCGCTGAGCTTCCAAAGAAAAGCTCCACAGCCATTTTATAACTCAAGACCAAGCCACAAAAAGGAAACAGAAGTGTTTCGAAGCTGACGAAGTGTAGTGACATTTTAGTTTTTTTTCTGAATCATTTCCCCCAAAACAAAAATCGAACTGTAAAACGCCTCATTCCGAAACCTTTTTTTTTTTTACAGATGTCTAGAAAATGGAGGAATGTGATTCTTTCTGCCCTTTTTGTACAGATTTCAAGCACATCGATCTATTTATAGAACCACGTTGGAAGTGCGGGGCAGTTTGTTTCAGCCCTGCTGACGTGCAAGGTCATTTCTTTTGGTCCACAAAGGCACGGCTTTAACACGCCTCCTTATAGCCAAAATATAAATCAAACCAAGAACGTTTCAAATGCAATTACTGACCTGATCATGCTATTTATTTCTGTATTTGTGTATTTATTGATTTTCCTTTCTTTTCTTTCTATTTATTTGGTAATTTATTTATGCTATCTATATACTGTAAGTATTTATTTAATGCTCTGTATGTCTGTGTGAAACTTAAGACTTTTTTCTGATGGGCACTTTTAGCTGTAGAATCCCATCGTAATACCAAAGATTACCATTGCCTCCCTGAATGTACGGCCTGAATCCCTGAACCCAGTACCCGATCCAAACAGTCCAACCCGATCCACCCTGTGATGTTGCGTATCTCTCGATCCTGAAGGCCTGGCCTTTAATTTTCTTTTGTAGACTATTGGGGAATTCTTTACTCTTGCAAATGTCTCTGCTGTCAGATCTTAATGCCAAGGCCAAAGCTTGTTTGAATGTTGTGATAATATTTATAATTAATAATACTATGGATAATAATAGTGACAAAGATGATGTGGCATCCCATGGATTTAGAAGTTGCTTGTAAAGTCATATTCAGACCAAGATCATCCGGAGTGTCCGGAGGAGCGCCGACTGAAGTGGAGGAGTCCTCCAGGGTCACATGCAACATGCGTGCTGCTGTGTCTGCTTGGCTAAACATGCATGGTTGTGACCGCCATCTCCCTCACACAAACTCCTCTCGGGTGCAGAAACTCATGTCGATGTCCAGCTCCGTGTGAGCTCACTGTTCCCCCACATGCCAAGCTCCTCTGCCAGTTTTCTCAGTTCCAGTGAGGTTAGGTTCACTCCTGCTCTTCTGTTGCTTTGTTCCAAAGATTTCACAATTTGCTTGCGGCTTGATGCTCTTAAGGTGCGTTCGAGTCTTGTTTGAGTCTTCGGGTTTTTTTTGTGTACTCGATCTTTGAAGATCTTAAGAGATCATCCCTGACCTTTGTGGATCTGAGCATTCCTCTCTGGGCTCGTTTTATTTAACGTGGCATCTCACCGGGATGCGAGTAGTTGGGGAACGGCGTTCACGAGGGAGTCTTAAATGTCTTCAGAACGTCTTCTGAACTTCACCGGGCTCCCAACTTCCTCGTGTTAGTCTCTGAGGTACGCAGTCCCGTCACTAGAGTTTTAACGTTTTCCAAAGATATAGCAGTGAAGAGTGCTCAAGCTGTATTCTGACACCTCTCCACCGTCTCCTCTGACAGAAACAGTCCCAACAAATGCCCAGATGATAAATAATTATTGAAAAACTTCCAGTTCTGACGTCCTTTATTTCAAAAGTCTACTTGAGTAGATTATGTCTTTAACTCGGCTGCTTAGACGGGAGCAAAACAAGTAAAATGGTGCGGCAACAAAATTATGTGCAAGATCAATATTAGAGTTTTGTGCATGTGAAAATAGGCTGGAGTTTTCAAAAACCCAACCGTTGGGCTAGATGGTTTCTTGGTCGCAAAATATCTGAGCATACAGCTGAAATTTTACGTTTTCTAGCAATTCTGAGGGATTGTTTAAATCAGTCGTCCGACAGTGATACCACCTTTAGTTTCTCGTTGGTCAAGGCCTTTATGGTTCCACCTTCACCGGGGGTTTCTCGAATGCTTCCTGTGGTCTATGAATGGTTTGCACCAATGTCTCGATTGTTCTCGGTGTTTGGTGTGGCGGACGTGTAAATCAGGAGAAAATCACCAAAGACCCCACTTTCTCACTCCTGAGTAAACGCTTCCAAAGAGTAACGAGGCTGACACGGCTGTTTTCCACCCGGCCTCGTTTTCTCGCTCCGTCTTTAACGTTGGAAGGGGTGGACTGGTGTAGCCCCCTTCGCAGCGTGCACTTGAAAGACGAGCGGTCATGAAAGAGGCCATCGACTTTTTCGTGGACTTCAAAGAGGGGAGGCAGTTTTTTTATAATCCCGTCTCCTCTTTGGGTCTCTGGGCCGAGGTCCGCTGTTGGCCAGACCTGTGGGCTTTAGGGGGCATTCAAAAGAGGTGGGGGGAGATCAGAGAGGAGGCTGAATCATCCAGAATGAGGATGGTAGTTCTGTGTGTAGGAGGGGTTGTTTGAGGAACAGGGGGGGGGGTGTTGGAGTAGTGAGGCATGAAGCTGAATTAAACTTTAATGAGTGACAATTGTAAGCATGCTGAGAGCAAAGGGGGGGCAGTGGTGGGGGTGTACCGTTGGGTCTGTACAGGAGTGAACAAAATTAAAAATAAAAGAGCTTGAAGGCTCCTCTGCTGACCCTTGCTCGCTGCTGTCTTGGTATCAAAGCTGAGGTGACACCTTTCAGGTTCCCTTTGTCTCCCTGACTGGGAGCCCAAAATGGAGACAGAGCCACCTTCTGCTCCGTGTCAAGAAGGAAAGCTCGTCCTTTTCTGTGCACAGAGGAGGCAGCAGGGAGGGGTGAATACAGTTGGCTGCTGCAGGTGATTTTATACCATTTTGGCCTTTCGGCTCCCCCTAGTGTCAATTCCAGATAGAGTTCTGAGGAAACACTAAAGGTACTCAGTGCAAAGCATGACTGGTATCCTGGACTATATCAAATGCTGTGGGTTTATTCCAGTAGTTTTCCAGATGTATTGATATGCAATTATAAAATGCGGGTACACACTCAATGTAAACAAAGCACTTGGCTGATTGTAAGAAAATAAGGTGGGAATTAAGATGGAAATATAAAAAAGTGATTTTTCTTTTTCTTTAAAGGAAACCTTGAAAAAAGTATAGTGCAGATTTTGTTTCTTTATGAATTTGAAGATCATTTTTTATGTCATGACTTTATAATGAGTACCTTTAGATTGGCAGGACTAGAATTATAAAGACAAATTAGTTTCAATAGCAGTTAAGTCAGGTCCTCCGGATGGTTTCTTTTTTGTTGTTGTTGTTGAAGCGTTTTGTCCTTCATCCAAATGACTTCATCAGTCCGAGGAGCCACAGCAAACTCAGTCCCACAGGCAGCACCTTCACATAGTGGACCAAACAGTTTGATGGTGATAAGATGGTTTCTGGAGTCCACCCTCTCCCCATTCGACTCCTTTGAGGCAGCCATGGCCAAAGTGGTTCAATACTTTCAGTGTTTCACACAAAAATAGAAAGAGAGAACAAATACCAAAGATTAACATGTGGCACCATCAGCAGTTCCTTCCAGAGCCACTCCACAGAAAGGCACCCGTGCTGTTTAATGAGCCGATAATTTCTGTTTCCCAAAAAAAAACACCGTATGTAGAGCTGGAACTGAGAAACTGACAAAAGAGCATGTCTTCAGGTGGAAGTCTTGAGACTTTGTAAGCCCAAGTGTGTCTGTCCCTGCCTTCCCCCCCTCGTGTGTACACAAAGACTTTACCCATCTACCTCAACTGTGTGAGATGTTGTGTGAAAAAGATATTTCTTAACCAAAGAGTCCATCCTGTCGGGGTGTCTGTCTGTCAATCTATTTATCTATCTATCTTGTCTGTCCATCCGTCTCTTTCTCATGCCTTTTACTCCAAACCAAATGTGCTGGAATCAATCTGTAACAGGGGCCCATCGGGGCCCCTATCCAGCCAAAGCTGAAGCCCAGTATGCTAGAGTCACATTGATCCATGTTCTGTATATAAATATGAAATCATTCTCAAGACCAAAAAAAAAAAAAAAAAGAAGAAGGAGGTGACAATCTAAGCAAGGAGGTTCTTGCTGTAATCAACGTTGCCTGTTCCTTGTTTTCCATAAACTATAGAATTAAGCCCAAGAGGCCCAAAGAATCAAGCGCTCACCCTGAAATAAAAAAAAGGTCACAGAAGACAGAAGCTATTTTTCCACATTTGTAAGCCACGCCCCGTCCCTCCCCCTGGTATTTCCTAATGTTTAGTGTAGTAGAAAAACTGTTCGATCCCACTGTTGTAAGTAGGAGTTAATAAAATCCACAGAAAGCTTTAAGTGATGAAGAGCCGAGGGAAGTATTTGACTTAAATTGGAGTTTCCTCAGCTCGGACTCACCTTCCCACCATGCTTTACCGTGCCATTCTTGTCCACGTGTTAGACTTACTCTTTTGAATGTGGCTAACCAACCAAAGGCTTAAAAAAAAGATACACATCACTTTAAACATCAATCATGGTGGGACGTTTTGTATCGACAACTAAAGAAAATCCCTTTGAATACCTCATGTGAAAATTGTTTGTTGTGATGTTGCACTAAAAAAATAAAAAATGATTCATTTGTAACCCAACACTGGGCTCCGTCGTGTTATTTGGACTTGGCTGGAAGTGTTAGCACGTTGCTAAACTGCTGTTTTACATTCTAAATCTTAAACTGTTCATTTTAAGCACAGTTCTTCCATTTGGAATTGGTCTTAAGTCAGTAAGTTACCATACATTTTGCTGTATAAGTCACATCCTTTTGCATAAATTAGCATGCCCTACGACTTAAACAGCGAAACGACTTATTTATGTTTTTCCCCATATTTATAACCCAATTTTTGGCTGAGATCTGTCAATTTTATTTGCAATTTTCATTCACAATAGGTGGAGTGGTGGCGCAGAGGCTAGAGAAGGTGGACCTGTGATCGGAAGATCGCCGGTTCAAGCCCGGTACCTCATTCGCCCCACTCTGGGCCCATGAGCAAGTCCCTTTACCCCCATCTGCTCCCCAAACAGGTCTCTCTTGAAAATTAGTTCTCGTGGCTCAATGAAACTACCTGGATAAATAAAGGGTAAATGAAAAAAATGAAGAAAAAAAAATCATTCATTAATACATGGAAAATATTGAACACTACCATTATCAGCCACTAGAGGGCGCTCAACATATATGGCAAGCAAAGTGTCTTATTAATAGGTAAAAGTGGCTATTAATGAGACACTTGGCTTGCCATACATAACCACCTTCGTCTCGCTCCGGAACTCCTGGAGCAAACGTCAAATCAACTGTATTTTGCCGCGTTGCCTAAACGAAATGCAGCTGATTTGACCATTAAAGTGCATTTATTAAGGAAAAGTTCAACTGAGACACCTTTACTATAAAGTCGAGCAAACAAATAATAGTTTTTAGGTGGTTATCTTGTAAAATTTTGTAGAAATGCACAACGAGTCGTCCCTCAGCGTGCTCCTGCTTCAGCGTATTGGCTTTTGAAATGCAGCCGAATTGACTGCAAAGTCTATTTATTAAACTGAAACACACCTTTGCTATAATTTCAAGCAAACAAATTGTTTTTAAGTGTTAATCTTGTTAAAATCTTCCCGTGCACACTCCCACGGCCGCACTTTAGCAGCCAATCGATTTTTGGCGCAACACCGGCCCATGTTTCCGGGAGGTCAGTGGTGACGCATAACAGATGCGACTTATACGGCGGTGCGACGTGTACGGTACACCTTAAGACAACGGTGTTACATTTTCTAGAATTGACTCATCATATTCTTCGTATTTTCCCATGAATATTCTGTTGATTTAGACAATCATTCTCCAAACATCATGTCAGAACAGTCTGACATGTTCATGAACCACAGATTGTTTGATGTTTTATCACTTTTATTCCCTTTGAATAAAAACTTACTTTTAAACTTGGCACATTTCTGAAAAATCCTTAACTTTTTATTAAGGCACAGTTGCAGGATTTTGTGCATCTTTGCACGGGAACTTCTGATTTTGATGCGCAAGCCCTGTAGAAATCATACTTGTTGTTTTAATGGTTACATTTTTTCAGTGCTGATGATGGACGCATTTATCAATCAAAGATCTCCTCACAGCTTTAAACAATGAGTACAAAATTTGGTGTTCATACACATTATTGTAAATCATAATCCAAGAGGAGCACATCGTTTTCAAAGTTTAAAATACACATAAATGTAACAACCCTACAGTTTGAAACAAAAATCAAGACTTACAGAAAAACAGATCCCTTTGCATATTACTATATGCAGATGATGATTAGAAGTATTAGAAAGATGCTGGTTTTAAGCTGTAGTAGTAGTTTTGGAGAGCTGTAATAAAACTAACGATAGATGATTTAGATTGTTAATCTTGCGCGTGACGCAGATCAGTTCCCGCTGCAGCTACATGATGGGGTAACACCCGTACAGAGCGATGCCACACTGGTTTTTCTGATTGCGCGCCATCCGGATGTAGCCCTCATCTCCAAATGTAGTTCCCCAACTGGATGCACAGAATAGAGGAGTGAGAAAAAAATAACAGCTTTTATAAATATAGATTTAAAAGTAAATGTTTCTGTAATGAGTGGAAAACATAAAAAAGGATTGGATGTAGAACAACCACAAGCAGACAGAGCTACTACAGACAATTTATAGTTTGAAAATGAAAAGTGACCCAACTTGTTGACTTGAAGGAGATTAATGACAAAGATGTAACGTGTTTTGTAGATCCCATAAAAACAAAACAAAAACAACAACAAATAAATATATAAAAAATCTGAAACTGTGTTTTTCTTGTATTGAATGAGGGGAATAAAACCTCTCTTCGTGAGATCACCTGACACAAAACAGCTCAGTTTTTATCACCTGCAGCCAAAAGCAAAGCCGATAAGGTTTTCATCTATGCGTGAGTCTTACTGTTAGCAAAATATCCAACAAACTACAAGATGGGTTTTGATATAGCTTTTATAAACTATTCCATGTGCATCTAGAACTCGTGTCATTTAGGAGTCAACCCAATTCAAGATGGCTGCCGCAGCTTATTGACCTTAGTCGACACAGACATGGCTGCAGCTCAGACCATTTGATAGATATTGAGCGTGTTTGGCATGGTAGTAGGTGACAGTCACCCTCAGCATGTACTTTAAGAGGTACTGAATTCTTTAAGATCTCAGGATTCACACATTGTCTAGTTTACGTCGTTTGACCTAAATGACCATAACTCATTGCTCATCGTTAGATTATCTTAGTCTAAAACTCTGGCATGAATCCAACAAAGTTCAGTCTGGTCCTCTGGACAGTTTTTTTTTTTTTTTTTGTTGAGATGTTCCATCCTTCATCCAAAGGGCTTCATCAGTCTGAGGAGCCACAACATACTCAGTCCCACAACACACTCCCATAGTCGACCAACCAGTTTGCTGGTGATAAGATGATTTCTGGGACCCGCCCTCGCCCCCGTCGACTTCTCTGAGGTAGCCATAGCCAAAGTGGTTCAAAACATCAAAGTTCATGCTCAATAATCCAGGTAGAAAATCCAACAAAGTTCAGTCAGGTCATCTGGACGGTTTCTTTTTGTTGTTGTTGTTGAGACGTTTCATCCATCATCCAAAGGATTTCATAAAAAAAAAAAAAAAAACAACTTTGATGTTTTGAACCACTTTGGTTATGGCTGCCTCAGAGGAGTCGACGGAGGAGAGGACGGGCCCCAGAAACCATTTTATCACCAGCAAACTGGTTGGTTCACTATGTGAGTGTGCTGCATGTGGGACTGAGTTTGTTGTGGCTCCTTGGACTGAAGAAGTCCTTTGGATGAAGGATGAAACGTCTCAACAACAAAAAAAAAACCATCCAGATGACCAGCCTGAACTTTGCTGGATCTTTTAACTGGATTATTGAGCATGAACTTTGATGTTTTGAACCACTCTGGCATGAATGATTTGAATGTTAGAGCTTTAAATATCAAAGTTTCTGGATTTCTGTCAGCAAAATCTCCAAATGTGAACACAGCGCAACCAGTAGTCTTTGATTGTTGAACTTCCAGAGCTTTGTTCGGCTTCACTTTCTGTTTTTTTTTTTTCCTTTTAAAGCAGTTGGAAAACACCAAGCAGACAAACAAGTGATGGAAAATAAAGAAACAAAGGGGATATAAACGACAGTAATGAAGTCTCACCTGTTCTTTACCAGCCAATAATCCTGATTATTCAGAGTACCGTAGCCCACAGTCAAGACTGCATGGTTAACGTTCTGGGTGCAGGTGGGGTCATTGTAAACTCCTGGAATAAGAAAAGTGAAATTAATCAAAAATGCTTGGATTTGTATTTGTATTTTTCAACTAGCTAACGCTTTCTCAAACAAGCCATAAAGGGCAAATAGTAGAGCTTAACTTCATGCATTATATGTCCTGCAGCCTCTTTATTTAAAGTATCTGGATTTTTTTTTTTTAATTCAAAAACAGTTGGTTTATCTAATAAGCACCTTACCGTTCTTGTAGAAAGCAAATCGGGGCCGCGTGGCATCAATCGCCACTGCAATGGGTCCGATATTGGAAATCCCTTCCATCAGAGCCGCCTCGTCCCCCTCAGGCAGGAAGGCGTACCGGGAGCAGTTCGCTGTTCGATACGCAGGGTTGTAGCGGCAGTCTTGTTGCTGAAGTTAAGGAAGGAGATCACGTGATGTTAAAGACGGTAACAGCTGTGAAGAAAATGTTCATTTTCTAAAGTTTTCCTTTAAGCTGGATTGTGGCAGCTTTAAAATAAGCAGGAAATTGACGTGGAAGGGTTAAAGCAGCAGCTGATTGGTGAGAAACTTTACTCTAAAAAACATTTCTGGGGTTGGGTAAAGTCATTTAGCTGTTGCAGCCATGCTGAACTGGGTTGACTCAAATTTCATCAGTTGTACATGTCAATCAAATGTTTACTTCTTGCAAGGTTCATTAAAGTTTCTGTTAGTTTATGAAATATTTAGCTAAAAAACTGACATGAATACAGACACAGGAAGATAAAATAACTTGTTTTACACATCCATCCATATCCACATTTTCCTTTTTGGGTTGTGGGGG